TTCTTCTCATGGTTCTCAGTCAGTGTCCCACCTCCTGTTGGGACAGGGAATCCAGAGAAGAGTTATTTCCTTTGCTTAGCTGAAAGAAAACTCTAAAACAGAAATAGAAAAGGGGGAACACGCTCAAAGAATGGCTGGAAAGATTGAAGCCAAGTAGACTCTTCTTCCACATAACCCTTTTGCCCACCCAGCACCCTAACACTGGAGTTGAAGACAGGCTGAAGGGTCAGTTAGACTTGATGAATTTGCACAAGAGCCACCTGCTACAAGAACAGAGAAAATGGATTGTGAATCAGTTTAGCTGACTAATCACCTGTGTGGGTGTCACTGGTGATCTCTCCTTCTTTACAGCCCTGAAGATCCAGAATCTGCAGCTTTTCCCCTCGGTCCACCCTGGAGAACACATGAGCTTTAGAGAGTGAAAATCCTGTTTGGGGAGCAATTAAAGAAGAGTTGATGTTGTTCATTAGGGTCGGTACCATTATTGCTTCCAGAGCCAGGATCTGAGTCTCCCACCCAGAGAAGCTCCTTCCGTATCTTACACAGACAAGATCCCACGACCCACTCTCCTGGAGGCCAGGTGCATCCCCCTTGCCTCAGGAATAGCCCAGCTTATTCCCCAAGGAGCTGAGTGCTCTGATGCACTCTGTAGGGTACAACTAAGTGTCCTTCACACCCCATTCCATCCTCCTGGCATGCCAGGGCAGGACAGGAACACACTGCTCAGAAGGAGTTCTCAGGGTTGGCAGGTCTCACACTGAGGCCCCCAGGCAGGGGTCAGATAGCTGCTGCCACTTGGCAGGTCACTAGGGCTTGGAGAGAAAGGACCCAGCAGACCTCTAGAGCCCCAAAGGCTCTGTCCAGAGAGCTCCTGGCTGGGGGCTCGGCTCACCCTGCTCCTCGGCTCAGATGCTGTACTTGGGCCAGAATGAGGCAGGGGAAGTTGTCAGAGCAGGAAAATGAACCCTTGGCTGGCTGCTCCACACTCCTGATCCCGACTTCCTGTCGGAAGGGGGCATGGAGGGGACATTCTCTCACACAGGAGCCAGGATTATTGGGGCAAATATTCTTGACATCGCAGATGGGGGCAATGAGCAGGGCTCGACAAATCGCTGTTTCTACTCACCCATGGCGAGTAGATTTCAGCCCGTCGCCAATTTACTGGCGGTGCACACATGTGCAATGCGGGTCTTGCGCATGCGCAGTGCAGGGCTGGCAAGTAGATTTCACCGCTGTTTGTCAAGCCCTGGCAATGAGAGTCCCTGAACCAAATCTAACTCTGGAGCCCACCCAGCTTCTGATACCCGAGGGGACAGGAATCCTTACCCAGCCAGCTCACAGCCTCATAATTCTCCTGCATCACATCCCAGTAGAGGGCTCTCTGGCCCAGGTCCAGCAGAGCCCATTCCTCCTCAGAAAAAAACACAGCCACCTCCTCAAAAATCACTGGCTCCGCCACAGCCATTTCCTGTCCCTGGCTGTGCAGGCCAGGGATTGAGCCGGAGACAGACATGGGTGTTCTGCAGCCTAGCAGGGGAAGAAGGGGAATTGGAGACATTTCAAAAGGGGCTTTAAATCCTTTTCCACACCCCCATTCTCCCCAGACTCTGTCCCTAGTGATGGATATGCTAGACTCTGCCATTGTGGGCAATTGCTGAGTCTAGATATTCCATAATCACCACGCACAAATTAGATGCCAAATCCACATTCATTTCTGTCACCTGGCTTGAGTTTCAACATTACTGCACCTGTAACAATGGGATTCAGTTCTGAGCACCCAGGCTACGTCTACACTGGCCCCAAATTCCGGAAAAGTGATGCAAAGCAGGTAAGTCAGAATAGGGAAATCCACCAACCACAACACTACTACTGTTGTTTGTATCTCTAAACTTAACCCATAGACTCTCAACAGGTTTTTCTCCCTCTATATACTGGAGGTCTGAGCAATCATAGTGCTCTCTTACATACAGTGCAACTTCTTCTCCTTTTCTCCCCTGCTTGTTCCTCCTGAACAGTCTATACCCTTCCATGACAGCGCTCCAGTCATGCAAGTCATCCCACCAAGTCTCTGTTATCCCGACTAAATCACAGTTCCTGGACTGGGCCAGGGCCACGTCCTTCCTGCTTGATGCCCAGGCTTCTCGCATTAGTGTACAAACCCCTCAGATAACCAGTTGATCGCCCTATCTTCTCCATTCAAATCAGGGATCTTCCTTTCTCACTCGTTCCTCTTTGCATTTCTTCCCAGCATCCGACTTTCCTACTCCCCTCAGGGTTTTGGTCACCGTCCCCCAACGAATCTAATTTAAACATGGCTCTAGGTGTCTAAATTTAGGTTCCTGCAGCGACACGCACCATTTTTTTTCTACCTTTGCAACGCATTTGTTTAACAACTTAATTGTAGCCGGGCAGGCCCCTCTCCACAACAGAGATGCAGTGAAGTTAATGCCAGTTAAGCATGCGTGATGAGTGTTTGCAGGATGAGACCCTAAAATTCATAGATTTGCAGTATCCAAGGGGAACGTTAGCCCTGCAGTCTGACCCCCTCTGTGGCACAAGCCACTACACTTAGCCCAGAAATCCAAGCACAAAGTTCTGTTTCCTCACAGCATGTTTTCTAGAAAGTTGCCAGCGTTGAGTTGAAGAGATCAAGAGAAGGAGAATCCACCACTTCCTGTGGCCATGGATTTCTGTAGCTCATCATCGTGCCTACCAAACATTTGTGCCTCTTTTCTAGCCTGAAATTGTCTGGCTTCAGCTTTCACACAGCCATATCCACTAGATCAGGGCTTCCCACTTTATACCACAGACCAGCAAACCCATTCACAAATGTTGGCAGACCAGGAAGATTTTATTTGCATATTTATTATGGAAAAATCAATATGCAAATATGCAAATGAAATGCTGCCAGTCTGTAATGGACCAGTTTGCCAATATCTACAACACTAAAAAAATCAAAATGTAAAGAATTCCCTTCTCGCTGCTGGGTGGACGACTGGTGCCTGCAGAGGGAGGGGCACCCACAGAGGCTGGGGGCATTTGGTGCACCCTAGTAGCAATTAGCAACTGAAATATTGTCCGGGACATGGGGTCCCCTATTGCTACCACCAGTCACCTCTGCCGTCTTCCCACCTGCCCCATGAGGTGGGAGAGTTGCCATTGTATCTCCCCCATTTCCTTCTGTACAACCTAGGTCTCTCGCTTCCTCAGCCAGGCTGCTCTTGCTCCCAGCTCTTGCATCTCCCCTGCCCCCACTTCACAAATCCCTGTTCCCGTCTTCAACCCCCTTCTGATTCCTTCCAGGGCTTGCTTCCCCACCCCACACACACTGGGATGTGGTGGCAGTTTCCCTGGGTCTTGGGCAAGGAGCACAACAAGTTCCACTGGAAGCAGCCTCGGGCCAACCTGCTCATCTGCAGCTCTGGGCACCGGGGAACTGCTCCTGGGGAAGGAAGGGGAAACTCTTACATGCCCTGCAAGGCTCCCAGGGAGCAATGAGACCTGTGGTATGTAGAAAGCTGCTCCCTGTACAGCTGTGCTACTTACGGAGAATGTAGGGGCACTGAGCATGCTCAGTAATTCTGCTGTAGCCTCTGCCCTTCACCCTGCCCACTCTAAGGCTATGTCTACACTGCAAAGAAACGTTGAAAAAAGTATGCAAATTTTGCTTTCTTTCTGTTTTTTTTTTTTTTTTTTTTAAAGAGGCTTTTCCAAAATTTGGCCCGTGTATACCACACCAACTTTCAGTAAAACCTTCTCTTTTGAGACATCTCTTCCTCCTCCTCAAACAAGGTTTAAAAGGATGGTGAAAGAACATGTCTGTGTTCTCAGAAATTTTTCTGAAAAAGCAGACATTCCTTAGACTTAGGCATAGCTTTTCCCGGATCCCTCCTATATCTGTCTATATCTGTCCTGTAGTAATGCTCTGAACACTGCACCACTATCTCAATGTGGAGGTGAATTTGGGGGTGACTCACTGAGGGAGGATGCCCAGGCCAGAATGTTTACAATGACTGAGGCTCATGGTAATCTTAGCCTTGGAGGGGTGTATAATTAGAGGACACCATTTGCCTGGGAAGCTGGACAAAGTTTCACATGGGGCTAGCTGCAGCAAGGGATGAGTTGCATGTCTGGGTTGGGGCCAGAGATCTGAGCTCTCTTCTCCCCAAGTTGAATTAGCATGTCCCCTAGGTATCTGACTCTCCTGTTCCTCAGAAGGAAGCATGGTGATTCAAGTGTCTTTCACATGGGGATTGTAGGTCTTACTCCACTCTAATTCAATTGAGCCGATGCAGAAACGCTGGCCCCAGGACTTTGGTAGCTGAGGTAACAGGAATCCTTACCCAATGCAGCCACCATCTCGTAGTTCTGCATGACATCCCTGTAGAGGGCTCCCTGAGCAGGGCCCAGCAGCACCCCCTGCCCCGCAGTGAAATACACAGCCACCTCCTCGAACGTCACCAGCATCTGAAACAACAGGGCTCCTCATTCAGCATCTGCTGCCCCAGCCAGAGCCCCACTACTCACAATAGAGGAAGCCGGAGTAGAATCTCACCTCAATCCTGCCCAGAAAGGCCAGGAGGCTCCAGGGGAGAGAGAAGGGAGAGATCTTTGTGCCTCCCAGCAGGGTCTTCTCAGTCACTCACCTGCCAGCCACAGGCTACCAGGGAAGCAGAGTTCTGCAGAGGCCACGGGGACAGGAATCCCAGCAGCCTCTGGCTAGTGAGCTCGGTCTCCAATGTGAGGAACAGCAACAGGAAAGGCCAGGCTGAGTCAGACCAAAGGCCTCTCTAGCCCAGTGTCCTGTCTGCCCACAGTGGCCAATGCAGGTGCCCCAGAGGGAATGAACAAAACGGAATCACCAAGTGATCTACCCCCTGTTGCCCATTCCCAGCTTCTGGCAAACAGAGGCTCGAGACACCCTCCCTGCCCATCCTGGCTAGTGTAGTAAGTTGTGGGTCAGTAATATAGAGTCAGCAGGCCTAAGGCCTGCAACATGGAAACAGCAACAGGCCTGCAATCTAGTGAGCAAGACTTTGGTTCAGTAACACAGGAGCAAAGAAAGAAGCCCTATTGATAACCGTGTAGACTGTACACTAAAAGAGATTTGCAGAACATCTTAGTAAGGAATGTGTCGGTACAAGGACTCCCTGGGAGCTATGCAGTTACCGACCTAGGTTCAGGACCAGGTAGGAACTGACAGCATGAAGGTCACTTACGTAAGTAAGCCCTCCTTCTGTTAGGTAAGGGTGGTAACTAGGCAACAGAGGGTGGTAACCTGGTATGTAAAGAAGTGATGCACCTGTACCTGTCTCTAAAAGAACACCACTAAGGGTGCTCTCTAGCCGACCTTGGGGGGAGGGAGAGAGGGAGGGGCGCACTAGGGGCCTGAACGGCAGGTGTCATTGCTAAAACGTACAGAATGTACAGCGGCTTAACTCTGACTAACTGCTGTTAATGTCTGTTATATGGCAATAGGCCTGCTAGGTGTTGGTACCTTGTCAACGCAGGCCATAAGGCACAGTGGTGTAGCATTGTAGGATCTCTGCTACCAACTATTAGAGCTTTGCATTTGACAATAAACCTGCTCGACTGAATTCAAACCTGCCTGCATCTGTTGTTTCCGGGGGCTCTCAGAGATATCCTGTGTTGACCCAAGTGCACGGGCTCTAACACTCTAGATAAAGTGAGCACAGATAGTTTGGCATGCAGCCGAAAGTTTATCATCACCGATGGAGTAGACTGAGGTTCTGTCAGGAGTGCTCCGGGAAAACCCCAAGAACCCTGACCAGATTACGCTGACGCTGACACTCACACTGACAGTATAGACCACTGAAGTTACTGAAGTACGACAACAAGTCGCTACTGATAGACCAATGGAGACTCTGGTTAGTTTCCCACACCTGTCCATGGGGTGTTTTCTCTTTCAGAAATAGAACTTCATCCCCCTCCCAATGGGCCTGTTCAGACCATCAGGCCCTAGGCTAAGCATGTACCAGAAGTTTTATCCCACCTTGCCCATTTCATAGACACATAGGCTGCGTCTAGACTGGCATGATTTTCTGGAAATACTTTTAAAAGGAAAAGTTTTTCCATTAAAGGTATTTCCGCAAAAGCGTGTCTAGATTGGCAAGTGCTTTTGCGCAAAAGCATCTGTGGCCAGTCTAGACGCGATTTTGCGCAAGAAAGCCCCGATTGCCATTTTAACCATAGGGGCTTTTTTGCGCAAAACAATTCTTCCCTGTCTACACTGGTCCTCTTGAGCAAGTATTCTTGCGCCAGAAGGCTTTTTCCTGAGCGGGAGCGGGAAAGTATTTGCGCAAGAAGCACTAATTTTGTACATTACAAAGTCAGTGCTCTTGCACAAATTCAAGCAGCCAGTGTAGACAGCTGGCAAGTTTTTGCACAAAAGCAGTTGCTTTTGCACAACATCTTGCCAGTCTAGACACACCTATAGACTTTAAGGTTAGAAGGGACCATTTTGATCATCTAGTCTGACCCCATGCACAATGCAGGCCACAGAATCTCACCGACCCACTGTGGCCTGCACATCTAAGAAAATCTGAGCCCTATTATTATTATCAGTATTTGCTCTCCAGTCTATATCTGGAAAGTTGAAGTCTCCCATGATTAAACAGTTTCCATTAGTATTTACTTCTTTAAAAACATTAAAGAGGTCTCTATCCATACCCAAATTAGATCCTGGTGGTCTATAGCACACCCCAAGCACTATCCCAAGGGAGGATCTAATAGTTTTCTTCCCCAATGTGATTTTTGCCCAGACAAACGTCTTCTCCATTCCTTCACTTTTTAATTCTTTGCAATCTACCTCATCATTGATATACAGTAAAACTCCATTAGTCCAGCATCCAATGCTCTGGGACTCCGGATGGTCCAGCACCATCAGGAACCCAGAAGTGCTGTGGCAGCCAGACAGGCTTCCCCCTTTCAGCTGCTGCTGAAACTGACCAGCAGCTGAATCGGGGAAGCTGGGAGCAGAGCAGCTGGGGTGCTGCCAGGTTGGTCCCGCAGTGCCAAAGGACAGCTCTGCCCCGGGCTTCCTGCAATCAGCCGCTGATCTGTTTCAGCAGCGGCTGAATCGGGGACCCCTGGGGCAGAGCAGCTGGGGTCCTGCCGGGTTGGTCCCACAGCGCCGTCCTTTGGGCAGCGCCCCAGCTGCTCTATTGCAGGCATCCCCGATTCAGCTGCTGCTGAAACTGACCAGCAGCGGCTGAATCCGGGACACCTGGGGCAGAGCCTCTCCAGACCCCTCATAGCCCCCCCTTCTGATAGTCCAGCATAGCTGATAATCTGGCACCCCCTGGGTCCTAAAGGTGCCGGATTATCGGAAGTTTACTGTACAATGCTACTCCACCACCTTTACCTTTATTCCTGTCTTTCCTAAACAGTTCATACCCTTCAATACCTGTACTCCAGTCATGCCTAGTATTCCACCATGTTTCTGTTATTCCTATAATATCTGGTTTCACTTTCTGGACCAGTAGCTCTAGTTCCTCCATTTTGTTACCTAGGCTCCTCGCATTGGTGTACAAACATCTTAATTTTTGCTGTTTCACCTCACTCACATTCTTTACCCCATTTGGCATGGACATTTTACCTCCGATATGACCTATTAGACTAGTATCCACTCTGCCCTTCCTCCTTATGTACATTCTCCTACCCTGGCTATATCCTTTCTTACTTCGTTTTCCTCCCTCTCAATGCTAAAATCCGGCGTAGAGATTACCTGGACATCTCCCAACCATCTCCCCCAAATTCCTAGTTTAAAGCTCTCTTAATCAGTTGTGCCAGCCTCCATCCTAGAAATGTGTTTCCTTCCCTACTTAGGTGAAGTCCATCCCGAGAGAACAGTCCTCTGTCCGTGAATGCCTCCCAATGGCCATACATCCCAAAGCCCTCCTTATAGCACCACTGCCTGAGGCACCTATTGAGCATCATAATCCTATCACAGCTTTGTTGCCCTTCTCTAGGAACAGGCAGAATCCCACTGAAAATCACCTGAGCCTCGATTTCCTTAAGCGTCCTCCCCAACCTGACATAGTCTCCCTTGATTCGTTCCAGCGAGAATCTAGCCGTATCATTTGTTCCTACATGAAGGATGATCAATGGATTCTTTCCTGCTCCCTTTAGGATCCTCTTCAACCTTAGTTCCACATTTCCTGCCTCACCTGGGTATTTTCTGCCCTCCCCCTCTACTAAGCCCCCTTCACACACACAGCTCTCACAAAATTCCTTACCTGAGCTGGCTTCACCACAGCCATTTCCCTGCCCTGCCTCCAACAAGATGGGACGATCTGGAGCAAAGTGTGGATGTGATACTTCAACCTGTCAGGGCAACAGAGGCAATTGAAGAGGTTTCCAAAGGGGGTTGATCCATTTCACACCCTCCTCCAAGAGGGGTGCCTCTGGTACCCCAGCCCCTGAATCCCCAACCCTCTGCATCCCTACCCCAAGTAATCCAAGTATTCTATACCCCTGCTCCATCCCCATACACTGTATCCCTTCCTACACTCATAACCCACGCTCAGACCTTGCACCCAAATTCACTACCTTTGGTCACAGCCCAAATCCCTGCACTTCCGCCCCAGGTCACGATTCCCTATTTCAGTGTTTCTAAACCAGTGGTATGACTACCCTTGGGGTACTCAAGGGAAGTCTGGTGGTACTTCAACACAACTGAAATTTGGAGAAAATGGAATTTTTGTTTTAAGTTCTACAGTTCTTTATTATTTTTGTACCTTTTACACCCAAAAATTTCATCGCATGCTCAGCTATGATGAAGCTATTTAAACAAATGTGTTGTAATGGTAGGAAAAAAAATGTGTGAGAGAAAACTGTAGTTACTAGGAGTATTTTTTTTTAAACAGGTACTTTATAAAAAAAGGTTGAGAAACAATGGTCTATTTCACCCAAACTTCCTCCCAGATCGCAAACCCCAAGCTCCCTTCTGCACCCAACTTCTCTCTCAGACCCCATAGATCCTCCATTAATAGCATGGAAGAACGGCAACGATTAAGTTGTTTAAACAAACGTGTTGCAGTGGTAGAAAACAAATTATGTGTCTGAAATCAGTAGGTACTGGGGTACTTTTTTTAAGGGGTACTTATAAAAAAAGGTTGAGAAACACTGGTCTATAGCAATAACAAATTAGCTTTTGGTTATCGATTAATGAACTGCACTGTTACATCCCCTACAGGTCACACCTGTCTCCTACACCCTCCCCTCCCTACTGCCCCCATCCCCTCCTCAGATCCCTCCCCGCAACCTCCCACTCATACCCCCCACTGGACCTTGCACACCCCCACACACCCCACTACCCTGCCCCAAGCTCCCTTCTGCTCCCACCCCCCTCCAAACACCTCAGGAGAGCTGCATCTTTGACATGCTCACCCCACCAGGCTAGCAGAGGAAGCCTGACCCACAGGGTGGGGCCCAGCCAGAGAAATTCTCTCTGCCCCAGGTAACAACCCCCCCCCTCACTCCCCGCCCCCCCGCCATGTGTTACACCCCCACGCAGCCCGTCCTGGGAAACACCTCCCCTCACAGGCCCCCCCCAGCAATTGATCCACCCCAGCCTCAGCCAACCCCCATTCCTCCTTAGCACCTCCCCAGTGGACACATGACCTGTCCCCACCCACACTCCTCCTGACTTCCTTGGCCGAGCCCCACAGCTCCCGATTCCTCTGGCCCCATCCCTAACCCAGCGCTTGCCAGAAGCAGCTGGCGACTAACTGCAGCAATGGCTCCCTCATAATTTGCAGCGCATGCTGTCACATTACTGAATTGGAGGGAAGCAGCCAGATCGCTGCTGCACCCATAGGTGGGGGTGCTGGCCCCAACAATGATATAGAAGGGGGCCATGTGGGGTATTGAATGGGAGCTTGTTGTTTGCTGATCCTGTGTACACTGTTTATGTGAGTATATAATGTCTATGTGTGTAGATAGGAATCTGTGTGGGAGCTGAATATTTCTTGGAATGTGGTTAAGCATTGCTATGGACAGGCTGAGTAGGGAAACCCTGTAGAACATGGCACTTGATGGGCCAAAGACACACCTATAGCAGGAGGGCGGAGACCCAAGAGCTGCCAGCAGAGAGAGGCTGAGGACCAGGTGACCGGCTGAGACCAGAAGAGGCCAGGAAGGGGGTATAAAGAGGCCATGTGGTCAATGCCATTTTGTTCTCAGCTCAGCACTTCATCCCAGAGGCAGCATTGCAGGGATTGAAGAGCCTGGAAGACCTGTGAACCCATCCTGATCGTAGGATGTGCAATAAGAACTTTTAAACCAGCAGCTGCAACATCTCTGCTAGAGCCTGCATCGAGGACTGGGAGATTCGGTGCATGTAACGTACTGTACTTTAATAACCTTACTCTCATGCTTTTCTTTCTTGTAATAATAAACCTTTAGATATAGATTCTAAAGGATTGGCCCAGCGTGATTTGTGGGTAAGGTCCAGAGGGTAAATTGACCAGGGATCTGTGGCTGGTTTCTTGGAACCGGACAGAACTTGTTCGGGGTAGGTGGGATTGGGTGCTAGGACTCCCCACCTGTGTATAGGCCCGGGGCCATCTGGGGCACGGATATTGCTGGGGTGTTGGAGGGGTTTTGCTCGGGAGGCTTCAGGCAGGTTGCTGAAGTGCTCTGTGGGACTGGTTTGTGGCCTATTTGGAGAGGTCACCAGTCTGGGGGGGCTGTAAGGAGCCCCGGATTTGAGCAATTCGCCCTGAGCGGACGCCCTCAGCTGTGCCCAGACACGGCCCGGTCCATCACACATGCGCAGTGACCGCTGCGAGGGATCAGCTACCTCCCTCTGTTCTCACCCCGGAGTCAGAGGCTGCTGCTGGCTCCCTCCAGGGCTAATCACAGCAGGGGTGCGTGGAGCCTGAGCAGGGGGCAGGATGCACTGAAAACCCAGCTGGCACTGTATGGAATCTGGGGTGGGGTGAGACTGCGCGTGTGCAGCGGGTCAGTGACTCCGGGGCTGTGTCTACACTGGCGCGATCTTGCGCCAAAGCGGCCGCTCTTGCACAAAAACTTACTGCCTGTCTACACTGGCCGTGTGTTCTTGCTCAAGTGAACTGACATTCTACTGTATAAAAATCAGGGCTTCTTGCACAAGAACTATGATGCTCCCGCTCAGGAATAAGCCCTCTTGTGCAAGAGGCCAGTGTAGACAGGCAACATGAATTTCTGCACAAGAAAGTCCTAAGGTTAAAATGGCCATCAGAGCTTTCTTGCACAAGAGAGTATCTACACTGCCATGGATGCTCTTGCGCAAAAGCACATCTCTTCTACAAAAACTCTTCCAGAAGAGAGCGTCTACACTATCATATGCTTTTGCACAAGACCTCTTCCGCAAGAGTTCTTGTGCAAGAAGCTGCCAGTGTAGATGTAGCCCGGTTGCGAGCCAGCACCAGGTTCTGCCTGGGCATGCTCCAGCCCTGCGGGGTGGGCCAGGGTTATTTCCAGCATGTGTAACAAGGGGGGGGGGAATAGTGATAGAAATGTAGCCGTGTTAGTCTGGGGTAGTTGAAGCAAAATGCAGGACAATGTAGCACTTTAAAGACTAACAAGATGGTTTATTAGATGATGAGCTTTCGTGGGCCAGACCCACTTCCTCAGATCAAATAGTGGAAGAAAGTAGTCACAACCATATATACCCAAGGATACAATTAAAAAAATGAACAAATATTGTTGTCTCCCCCTTCCCTGTCTCTCCCTGCTTGACAGCAGGCCAGGTCCCTTGGTACGGACACAGACGCAGAACAGGGGCTGCTGCTAAAACGTTTCCCTGCGTCCGGCCAGTCAGATGCCCCCGTCCCCCGGGAAACCCCCCGCCCTACGGGCCGCTTTGCAAACACCACGGATGGGTCCCCGTGTCATTTACCCCCTGGCCTCCTCACCACTTCCACACCCATTTCCAGCCCGTGCTCCCTTTGCCCCCTGTGACTCCCCCCCGGCCGCACGGTCAGTTCGGCCCCGACCAGCACGCACCGGGATACAGCGGCCCCAGCAGCTAGTCTCAGGCCTGAGGCTGCCCCATGGGAGCAGGAGCAGACCGGGCTGGATCGTTCCGCGAGCAGCTGGGCAGCGGGCGAGGGGCCGGTCACGCGCATGAGTGGAGGACGGGGGGCTCGGCCCCGGGAGCCCAACCCAGCAGGCCAGGCAGCTCCCTCTGGAGCTGGCCCGCTGCGCACGCGCGGCCTGAGCCCCT